GATACAACTTTAAAAAATTGCATTTTCATCCACACTACCCTCTTGGGAGTCTTGGGTTTAACGATCTACCTCTGCTACAACTTTTCCCTATTAAACTAAATAAACTAGAAATAATACAAGTAGTTAATGTAACTACAAATAATGTAATAAGTTAAATTTAATATTTCACTTGTAAATAATTAAACAACTAAAAAAAGTCTTAAAATTTGGCAACAATAATTACAATTTTCACAACATAATAATGCATTAAAACGGATTATGAAATAATATTCTGTAATAATGTATTAAACTGAGTAAAAGTAATATAAATACTCATGTATTGAAACCGAAAATATGCAAAACATAAAAAATAAAACTATACCACAATGTCCTAAGCTATGGACCACTCATTCATTAGTTACGTTTCTTTTGTTGAAACCCGTCCTTAAGAATCTCAATAGCAACTGGTTTCTTCCCAATTGTACATCATATTTAAAAATATATAATCAATAACTCATTCCAAAATTATTAATTTAAAATAAATATATTGACTTACAAGTACAAACTTACTAATTGTTCTGCTCTAACTTTTTTAGAATTGGAAACAAATCCCCCGCAATATGGCGAGCTTCTACAGACATTTGAAGAGCTATTTTTTTGTTTGCCTCCAACTTCTTAAAGTTTTCAGATGCCTACTGCACTAGCATGTCCTACCAATGTTCTGCCGATATCCATGGGAGCCATTTTTTCTTCTTTCGGGCTTCATTAAAGACACTCTTCAACCACAATGAACATCTAGAATTAAAAGAATGCAGAATATCAGATTCTTCAGGTGGAGGATATGTGTCGTTCCATTTCAAAAAAACACATAGTTATCATTAAAGTAAAAAAATCAATCACAAATGACAGATACACATATATGATATACTCAGATTTACCACAAATGCCTTAAGCCATGATTCATGAACATCCTTAGGTACATCTCCATAAAAAATCCATGGTGCCCTATAAGATCCTTCTAATACCCTTCAAACTTCTTTTTGAACTTTTCTCCAACAATCATTTAACAAAAAAAAAAAATTAACACACTAAATTACATTTTGTAAACATAATAGCCAAAAATATTACTTATGTAATATAACACTATTAACTGGGAAAGTCTTCAACTGATATCAGTGTTCGCACTATATTAGACTATCCTTCACAAAATAGTTTCCCAGGTAGCACCAATATCGGCTTAAGACTTTCCCAAGTAATAGTTTGATATTACATAAGTAATACTTTTGGCTATCATGTTCACAAAATATAATTTAGTGTATTAATATTTTTACGTTAAATGATTGTATGAGAAAAGTTATGAACGAGGTTAGAAGGATATTGGAAGGATCTTATAGAGGACCATGGATTTGCTATAGAGATTTACCTAAGGATGTTGGTGAATCGTGGTTTAAGGCATTTGTGGTAAATCTGAGTATATCATTTATGTGTATAAGTGTATCTGTCATTTGTGATTGATTTTTTACTTTAATGATAATTGTGTGTTTTATATAGCCGAACCACACACATCCTTCGGCAGAAGAATCTGATATATAGCGTGTTATTAACTCTAGATGTTCATTGTGGTTGAAGAGTGTCTTCAATGAACCTTAAAAGAAGATAAAACGGCCCAAATGGATATCCTCATAACATTGGCGGGATGTGCGAGTGCAGTGGGCGTCTGAAAAGTTTAAGAAGAAGTCGGAAGTAAACAAAAAGAGTAGCTCTTCAGATGCCTGTAGAAGCTTGCCATATTGCGGGGGTCTGTTTCTCAAAAAGTTAGAGCGGAACGATTAATAAGTTTGTACTTGTAAGTTAGTATTTATTTCAAATTAATTAGTGTGGAATGAATTGTTGATTATATATTTTTAAATATGTTGTACAATTGGGGAGGGTTGCTACCGAGATTCCAAAAAAGGAACAAATGATTGGAGTGATCCACGAGCTCAGGAGATTGTTGTATAGTTTTATTATTTTATGTTTTGCATATTTTCAGTTTCAATACATCGGTATTTATATTATTTTTATTTCATAATCAGTTTTAATGCATTATTATGTTGTGAACATTATAATTATTGTTACCAAATTTTAAGACTTCTTTAGTTGTTTAATTATTTACAAGTGAAATATTAAATTAATTTTTACTAGTTACATTATTTTACTAGTTACATTATTTTGTAGTTTTTCCATCATTTTCAATTAAGCCAAATACTCACTATTTTTTGGCTTGAGAATATGATGAAATAAAGCAAAATGGTTCACTAAATTGTCTGCACTTCTTTGTTATGAAGTAGCAGTCAGTCAATGCAATCTTTGACGTGATTTTCACTATGGGTCATCCGGAAACAGTCTATCTATGCTTTAGTACAGAGATGATGATGATGATGATGATGATGATGATGATGATGATGATGATGACATTATTTATAGTTACATTAACTATTTATAATATTTCCAGTTTATTTAATTTAATACTAATTTAAATTTTAATAGGAAAAAGTTGCGGCAGAGGTAGATCGTCAAACCCATGACTCCCAAGAGGGTAGTGTGGATGAAAATGTATTTTTTTTAAAGTTGTATCTCCCAAAAAGGAAAAATAATTGGGTTGGATCCTCTTACTGTGGCAACTTTGCGCAATGGTTCATTTGATCCCACTTTATCTCAACAAACACCATATGTTAAAGTTGAAGATTTCAATGCTTTTAGAACATTGATAATGGAACAAATAGTACATAAGATGGCGACGCGGAGGACGGATCCTACTAATGAGTCGACCACTCATTCACTTCCAAATATGACACATGGTTTCTTGTCTCAACTTCTCATACATCCATGTTTCCTATGGTTCCATCAGGAATGACTCACAATTTGCACTCACAATCAGTCTCTTATTATCAAACGATGTACCTGAATGGCCACATGTCGGGACAACAATCTGTGCCGCTTCAACCATCCATACTTTCTCAACTACCATTTGAATTCGTTCCTCTACAAAATCGTAATAGTACTTCTCTGGATGACCCTTTTTTGAATAATATACTTGCTGGAAATGAGGGAGAGAATGGAGGTGGTGGGAAATGAAGAAGTATTTGCATTGTTTTTTATTTAGTTGTGATGTAATGAACAATCCCTACTTTTATTTGTCAAACTTTTGTACTGTATTAACTTTGTTTTGTACAATCTTGAAGTATGCAATTTTATGGAATGCTTTGAAATTTACTTGTGCATTGGGCAATATTGGGCAGTTTTTTGGTGATGACTTTCTAGGATTCTACAAAGGGATATTTTGACTTTGCACCCCGTTTTTTTGGGTGATATTGGACTTTGCACTCCATTTTCAAAAAATTTAGACTTTGCACCCTAATTCCCCTAAAATGTCTTTGCCTTTGCACCCCATTTAAGAATTTTTCTTCACAAAATGTTGTAGATAGGGTGCAAAGTCTAGAAGTTTTGAAAATGGGGTGCAAAGTCCAATATCACCTAAAAAGTGGGGTGCAAACTCAAAATTCCCCTTCTACAAAAGCACCATTTAACTGCATTTGAACTGGAAAACTCATAAATATAATCGCTCAAGCTAATGGTTTATGAACAATTAAATGCTGCGAATTGGAATGTGTTACATGGTATTTTATTTCCAACAGATTTATTTGTTGGAAAGCCGCCAGTAGTTTTGTTTTTCTATAAAATTTTCGACAGATTAATCGGTTCGAAACCCGTTAGCATATGATACGAGACTGGAAATTCTGGTTGGCCTTTTCCGATCGCATTATTCGTTGAAATGTTCCAGCAGATATATTTGTTGGAACTCCGGCAGAAAGATTTAAAATCAGTATGAAATGGTTGTCGGAAACATTTCCATACAATGTATTCCAACGATCAAATTCTGTCGGCATTTTGTTGGAAATATTGTTTCTAACGGCTATTTCGTTAAAATCTGTTGGAAAGTTGGTTGGTATTGAGCCTTTTTCAGTGAAGTTCTTCATAGCATCCTTTAATGCCCTAATTAGGATTAAATTAATCCCTAAATGCACAAATAGGACTAAGTTATTTATCTTCCTAAAATAGGACTAAAGTTCACCCTATTTTCCTATTATACCCTTATCATTACTTAATAGGATAATCTTATTTTAATTTGTAATAAAAAAACATAATAAAAATATTACTCTGTATAACTTTTACAAAAAATCGCAAAAAATTTAAGAAACAATTTTTTAAAAATAATAATAAAATAATAAACATTAAAAAAATTCAAATAATAATAATAATGATAATAAATAAAAAGTAGATAAAACACATTAAAAATATCAAAAAATATGGAGGTCTTTCCCGCAGTCTCGGCCACCGCCCAGCAATGTCACCTCCGATCCGCAAAAAAACGCTATTTCGTGGAAAAAGTGCCACATTTTTACTATTTGAAAATGTCAAAATTTTCTCGAAAATTGACATCAAGATGGTGTTTCTCGCAAAAAAAATATACAAGTAGATGAAAAGAAGAAAGAATAGGGGAAATGGGTGAAGTAGCAAATGTACTCTTAAACTTTATTCGTAAGAGCAAATATACCGTTCAACTTCATTTTGGAACAAATAAACGTATAACTTTTAAATTTAGAACAAATATAACCTTGAATTAGAAATTGGGGAATATAAATATACACCTTAATTATTACTCTCTCCGTCCCATAAAATTGTTCCCGCATTGATTTGGATCTTAGTTTAAGAAAGTGATAATAAAGTGGAAATATGTGGTTGTGGTTGAGTAAGAAAAAGGTAAATGAATGATAGCCACAAAAAACTTTCCAAGAGGGGAAATGAGAACTATTTATTGGGACGGCACAAAAAAGAAACGGGGAACTATTTTGCGGAACTGAGGGAGTATATATCATATATACCCTACAATCATTTGAAAATAAGGGCGTATTTGTTTTTACTTTGCAATTTTTGTGTCTAATTGTTCTGTTGAAGGTATATGCTTTGTGGAAAATTACCTGAGTGGTAATAATGAGAAGCCAGCCAGTATAGAAAGAGATACTCCTGCGGTAAAAAGCAATAATGATGGTAACTATCCCAACTGCGTAAGCCGTCCCACTCCCCACGTTCCCAAATATGGTGATCAGCACGTGCTCCTTCATGTTAAACGGGCCCGGGTTCAACGAGAACTCCCTCGACCCGAACCCGGGGATCCTGAACTTGGTCGCGGGCAGGGCGGCGGCCATGAACCGCCCGATGGGGAGGGTTGCCACCTGGACGGTGATCTGGGTGATGACCAGAGGCTCCTTCCGGTAGCCGAAGAACTGGTTGAGGAAGGAGAGGAGGACGCAGGAGAAGACGCCGAGGACCCACATTCTGAAGGTCCATACCGGCAGGGTCGGGTCGTCCGTGTTCGGTACGGTTAACCGGACTTGCTCTATCGGAGAGAGCTCATCTTCCTCGGAGGTTTTGGGAGCCTCGATTTCCACTGAGCCCATTTTTCCTCGGTGGGTGTAACAAGTGTGTCCGTACTTGCATTATCTATATGAGTATACGCAATTATTTACTTTGACTTTTATGTTGACTTTAGAAAAATCTACTCTATATTGAAATGGAGTATTTAAAAACGGCCTACTAAAGTTGAAATTAATTTTTCCATGATCTCTATACCAACTATCTTGTAAAGTCTTCCTTTCAAAAAAATTTATAAAGTCTTCTCACATAGCGTCATCGTTATTACGTACTCCCTCCGTTTAAAAAACAAGTTACACATTTGACTTCACTCATATTAAGATAAAAATTTTGACTTTAATGTGGAGTGCATTGTTTGACATTGTTTGAACACTGTTTGACATTGTTTGACACTGTTTGGAACTGTTTTGATGTAGATAATTTGCCAAATAAAGAAATGATTGAAAGTGAAACTTAATTTTGAAACTGCTCGAAAGGGAAATGTGAAACTTGTTTTTGAATCGGAGGGAGTATTTGAAAGTTCTCTACAATATATTTGAACATACGGAGTATCATTTAAGCATGCAATAATAGGGGTAATAAATATTGTAAAAAAAATATGAGAGATAGTTGAAAAGTATGAAAGAGGGAATAAAAAGTCGAAAAAGTAATGGTAATTGAGTATTTTTAAAGACAAAACTTATCAAAAAGGAAAATATAGTAAAAATTTAAATACATCCATGAAAGGAATATGTAGCAAACTTTAAAATTTGATTCAGTATTAGATATCCCAAAAAAGGAGTGTTATACAGGCTTTTTTCTTGGTCAATAATGATACGTTTTGATTTAATTGCTATATTTAAATATTATTTATACAAATATGATTTTGTATTAAAAATACCATTAATTGAAGTTAATTGTCATTAAGCAAGAACAACCAACTACCAATTTTTTAAGACGGAGACCGTATTTTTTAAATTTGATGTCAACTTCTCAAGTCTCATGACATAATTTATAAAATTATATACAAAATGATATATTTAGGAAATGAAAATGATCTATATCCATAACATTATCTTTTTTTATGGTAAAATATCCATAACATAATCTTATGTTTTCATTTTATATCCAACGTTCTACATGTTTTTCTACAAGTCAGTGTGGGGATTATAGAACTGCAGTAAATCGATTTTTTGTCGAGAGAAATAAATTGAATATAGATTAGAATAATACGTAGTATTATACTCCGTAATACTCCCTCCGTCCCAAAAACAACTTCCCACTTTCCTTAAATGGATGTCCCAAAATTAACTTCACACTTCAATACTTTCTTTATTTGGCAAATTATCTACATCCAAAAAGTGATAAACAGTGTCAAACAGTGTCAAACAATGTTTAAACAGTGCCAAACAGTGTTTAAACAGTGCTAAACAGTGCACTCTACAGTAAAGTCAAATTTATTTCCTAAAAGTGTATGAAAGTCCAACCGGGAAGTTGTTTTAGGGAGTAATTAAACACATGAACGATTGGTGTGCCCCGTTTGGAGTGCGTGCCCATCCACCCCAATCTCTTTGAGAAAAAAAATCAAAAAACAAAAACAAAGACAAAAAGGTGAGGAGACTACATACCAACTGATAATTTTTGGAAGGATCCCTCCGCCCAACTTATTATCGTGAATCGTGATGAGTGTGTCGATCATTAGCATTTGCAGTGGGGTTTTGAGAAATAGAAAATTGAATCATACGTAGTAGTAAAATACTAAAATGAATTACGGAGTCTTATGTAACATTTTGTGTAGACGTAATTTGCTAGTCTGGTTTGATCTGGTTTGATAAAATGAATTACGTGTATTTTATAACTTGGGAAGTCAAGTCTGGTCTGATCTGAGATCGAAAACAATCCAAGTAAAAACATTCCCGATCTATAAGGTCGTAAAAGAGCACAGGAAGATGAGCACATAATTTTCATATAACATTTTGTTAATTTATAAATTATCGTTACGAAACTTCAACACATCTTCTCACGACCAAACACTTGTTTGAATCATGCTGTCATTTATCTTTTTCGTTGGTTCGTCATTGTCATTTTATAATTGTATCATCATTTTTATAGGCGTTTACTTTATGGTTATGAATCAGTTTGACTCTATTAAGACTCGAGTTTCGTCCTAAAGGGTCAATCTTATAGGAGTAAAGCTTTGTTTGCAAACACTAAAAAACAGCGCTTCGCCGCTTTTGGCTTAAAAAACCTAAAAAGAGTGTTTTCAAGTAACAACTTCTACTTAAATTAATATTTAAAAGCTAAAAGTTAGAATATGCTTTTTTATTTTTTCTATTACACCAAAAGTATTTATTTTACCAAACACTATTAATTTTTACTTTTCAAATTACTTTTTTCTCAAACACTACCGACTTTTATTATTATGCACTTCTTCCCAAATCATTTTTAAAAGTTCAAAAGCACTTGTGAGTACTTTTTTTTTTGGCCCAGACCTTATGCATTGTAGGACTCTTTTTTTTTTGCCGGGAGTCAGATGCCATTATTTTATTCAAAAACAAAGGGATACACAGGGAGAAGGGGGACCAGACCAAAACCTCACCCAAAGAAGCAGAAAACTGAAAAAGACTAAACTTGTATTGGTGGTTTACCACCAAGAAGCAAAGATTAAAATCTAAAGTATGGGAACCCAAATAAATCAGCAAAATAGCTACGTTTAGCATTAATGGGCATTTCAGACACATTAGTGTAATAGATGAAATCTCCCAAAACACTACTTGGGTGAGCTAAGTGATGGGCCAAAAAATTTCCTTCCCTATACATATGTAAAAAAGCAAGCCCATGTTCTTTTGCCCTTAGCTTGAATGTCCGAAGCCCTTCAATCCATGCACTTGTGAGTACTGTTTGCAAACAAATTTATCATTTTATTACTTTCATAATTTACTTTTGTGGGGCTTCAATAGAAGTCATCTACACAATGGGAAGGCTCGAGGAAGAGTATCATCATAAAATGTATAGTGGATTAGGCATGGACCCGGTTCGGGCCGCCCGGCCCGGGACCGGCCCGGGACCGGCCCGGCCCGTCACTGTGCGGGCCCGGAACCGGCCCGGTTCTCGGGTCCGGGTCCGGGTCGGGCCGAGGCCCGGTGGGGGGGGCGGGTCCGGGCTCGGGCCTTGTATTTGGCGAACCGGCCCGGCCGGGTCGGGCCTGGGCCGAATTGATTTTATTTTTATTTTTTTTCATTTTTTGGGGTTAGTTGGGTTGGGCTTGATGGTTAGGAGGGGTTTGGGGGTTTGGGGGTGGGGGGGGGGGGGTTAGGAAAGCAAAAAAAAAAAAAAAATTATGACCGAACCGGAGGCCGGGCCCGGACCGGACCCGGTGGCTACCCAGGCCGGTCCCGGGCCTTCCTTCCCAAAAAAAAAGCCCAGCCGGGCCCGGCCCGGAACCGGAACCGGCCCGGCCCGGGTCCATGACTATAGTGGATAAGTTCTTTTTGTCGAAATTTGACGCTCTCAAAACTTGAACTGAAATCTGAATACTGATGCTCCAGTATACCTTAAATTCATAATTTGAATTTTGAAAAGAATAAATTGAATAGTCCAAAATCAAAACTAAATGCAAAAATTGAACCCAATCGTAGTCTTTTTTTTGTTTATTTTCATTTTTCTGTTTTCATTCTATGGTGCTAAAACATTGATGTTTGATGCTTTGTTTATTACAATTTTTTATTAAGCTACTAAGTTGTTATGTTTATTGCTCAATCGAATTTCAAATATATTGATTTAAAGTCGCTAGAATTTCAAATACAATCATATCAATCTACTAATTTTGGAAAATTGTTTAATAAACTCGCAGGTGTCTGGTGTCCTACTAATAGTCATGGACCCGGGCCGGGGGCCGGCCAGACTTTTTTTTGGGAAGGAAGGCCCGGGACCGGCCCGGGTAGCCACCGGGTCCGGGCCGGGCCGGGCCGGGCCTCCGGTTTGGTCAATTTTTTTTTTTTTTTTGGCTTTCCTAACCCCCCCCCCCCCCCCCCCCCCCCAAACCCCTCCTAACCATCAAGCCCAACCCGGGTAACCCCAAAAATCAAAAAAAATAAATGAAAAAAAAAATAATTCGGCCCGGACCCCGGCCCGACCCGACCGGGCCGGTTCGCCAAATACAAGGCCCGAGCCCGGACCCCCCCCCCCACCGGGCTTAGGCCCGACCCGGACCCGGACCCGAGAACCGGACCGGTTCCGGGTCCGCACAGTAGCAGGCCGGGCTGGGCCCGGGCCGGGCGGCCCGAACCGGGTCCATGACTACCTACTAAACAAGAAACTCGGAGTAAATAATCGCCCAATCAAGTTATAAAAATGTTGCGACAATTTATATGTTAGGTAACTAATTTTCCAATCAAAGTAATTACCCGCTCATATTACCCTTATATCTCCAACTAGGCACTTAATCACATATGCACCACAATTTAGTCTTCAAAAGATTTGCCTGATTGACTTTTCTTCTTCAATCGCAATCAACTTTGATTAATGGTATTTTTTAATACGAAATTATTTTGAATATAAAAATTATATCAAATTGTCTCTTGTTCAAAATATTTTCATAAAATATAAAATTGACAAATTATATAAAAATATAATATCCAAAATCATTGTCTAAAGTTTACCATCATTGTCCAAGAAAAGTGAATCGGTTAAACCTTTTCGTGACAGACATAGTATTATTATCTCTTTCTTCTACACAAATCTTGATTACAAAATTTTAATCTATTTTACTTCTAATTCCCATCAAACTTGGCAAAATAATGGGAGTACAAGGAAGCAAATAAACTTTTACACCCAGTCTTCATTATCTTGTTCTCTCTTACACAGCAGTAAGTTGCTGAAAGGTGTAAAGAATAGTGTCATGAAACTGAAGATAATCCAAATTAACCGTTGAAAATGTTGCCACTTGATCTCCCATTAACCCCAAGTATATTTTCAGCACCCTCAATCTAGTAAAATGATCTATTAGCTGAATTTTATTGTAACATCATTGGCACTAAACTGACTAAAGCCATTGGAGAAATTAACTGAATGAGACCCAACTCATCCCAAGTTGGTCTTATTATCCATTTATGGCTTTGCCAGT